TGTAAAAAGTGGCCAGGACAGGAGGAGAAAGATGTGCTCTCCTCATCCGACGCAGGAAATGGGGTTTAAGGAAGTGGGCTTTGGGGAGGGGGAGGATTGGGGGGCCCTTGGTGCTCTCTGGGCTTGGTTATTTTCTTGCAGACATTTCATTACCCAACTAGATAACATTATCAGTGCTAGGAGTGAATGGAGTTAGTGAAGTTTGAGAAGGAAAACGATGGGGCCTTAGGGGGCTCTCTGAGCTTGGTTTTCATGATCCAAACAGCATCAGTGTTGGTAGAGCATGACATGAGTGCAAACCCCACATCCTTCTAGCACTGATGATGTTCCCTAGTTCAGTCATGAATCGTCTGCAAGAAAACAACCAAGCTCAGAGAGTTATTAAGGGACCCCCTCATTAGATCTTCTGAATGTTTTTTTGTGATTTAAGAGGTCAATTTTCCACCTTTAATTGCCAGCATAGGGGACAGAGCTTTGAGCCAAGTTTCAGCAGCCCAAAGAATGCAACGTTGCCTGGCCTAAGGGCCTGTTTGACCTGCCGTGAGGTGTGGCACGTACGTCGTTGCTGGCATTCTTGAGCTGGTTCAGCAGGTAGTCGATGATGTCGCCACCATGGTTGGCGTGGATGAGCCCCAAGGCGTAGAGGCCGCCTCCTTCCTGATAGGCAGACCCCGGAGACGTGTCTTTGGGCAGGTACGTTGCCATCAGCTGAAGAGCTTCCTTCTCGTGACCCTACGAATCCACCAGAAAAGAACAGAAGGACGGCAAAAAGTCAATCTCTTTCTCTTTCAAGCTTTTGGTTTGTTTGTTTTTTAAGAAAAATCTTTTTTTAGACAGGCACCTGCCCTATAAATGGCTACTTTGCTGAACGTGGCTTTTAATGCATTTTTTTTTTGTTTTGAGTTGAGAGCTTTACAAATCCAAGAAGTCATTAAGCCATTAAATAACCTACAGGTTCTTGAAAACATTATTTTCAGTAAAAGTCTGTAGAAATTCTCAGTCATCCGGGTCATGGTTGTCCCAAAGGGGATTTTTTTTCAGGAGGCAACTGGACTTCGTTTTTTTCTCTTGAAGACTTTTTGCTTCTCATCCAAGAAGCTTCTTCAGTTCTGACTGGATGGTGGGGAAGGGAAGGATTTATACTCCTTGCAGACAGCTGGCCATTTGCATCCTTTTAGAGGGTCGTTGAGGCCACTTGGAGGTTACTCTGTATCCTCGGGGTCACCTGAGTGGTGCAAATGGTTCCTGTAGTCTGCAATTTTTCCTCTGAAAATCAATTCCTACCCCCACACCATTTAAAGGATGTCCATCCCAAATTGCATAGCTAAAAGATAAACCTCCCAAGTGTTTCAATGACCCTCTAAAAAGGATGCAAATGACCAGCTGTCTGCAAGGAGTGTAAATCCTTCTCTTCTCCACTATCCAGTCAGAGCTGAAGAAGCTTCTTGGATGAGAAGAGAAACCTCTTCCAAAGAAAAACCTGAAAGTCCAGTTGCCTCTTGAAAAACACCTTTTATTTTCAGTACATTGTTTTCAGGCTTGTTACTTTGTTTTATTAACTAAACTGAACTCCTGAGAGGAAAAGGGATGTATTAAAGTTACCGTATCTGATAGGTAGAGGTAGGGCCAAAAGGCACTTCTTAAATAGAAGACAGGACAAAAACTCTACCAAGATTGCCAAGATTGTTCCTTTGTTTTGATTTTATGAAACAATTCTTAAAAATTGGCTGTATTATGGAGATCTATCTGCAACTGCTTGTTCCCTGTAACCGTATGCTTTCTCCTAACGATCACAACTGGCACATTAAAAAAAAAATTTTCCCCATTCTCCCAGGATCCCCATAGATATAAATGCATTCGTCGCATGTGGACTTGTAAAATTTCTTTCCGCTATAAACGTATGTCGTTCCCAAATTAGGAAAGGCGTGTGCAATGAAGTCAAAGTGTACAGTACTCTTAATTACGTGTGAGAAAGCTCTCCCGTATGCTTAATCCTTGCACCCTCCTTATCGGAAAGCTAGATCAGAATTGCAATCTGAAGATAAGAGGGTTTCAATCATTCATGATCAATGAGATGTTGAGAGAAGCTGGGGGGGAAATCCAAATCCAGTGGTTCCCCCCCAAAAAAATCCAATGCAACAAAAAACTCAGTTTTATTACCTTATGGATGACACCAAGGCTGGCTGTAGCAGTAAACTTGGCCCAGTTAGTAGCCCTTGCAAGCCACTCCAAATTGTCTCTGCGGAAAGAAAATGGAAAATTAAATCTGGATTCTTCAGAAGAGGCAAGCAATGCTTAAACATTAGCGACTGAGGCCAAAGGGACTTTAGCTTCTCATTTTGGCTTCACTACTTTTTGGCTCTGAACTACTCAAAGATGAAAATAAAGTCACAAGGCAGCAAGTTCTTCCTTGCATGTCGACTACTGGGAGAAACACGAACGCCAGAACAAGATTTCTGCTTCAAAACGCGTCAAATACCGAATTTGACGCGTTTTGGAGCAGTTGAGTGACAAAGCAATGACTGTATACCAGGGGTCTTCAAACTGGACACCTTTAAGACTTGTGGACTTTCAACTCCCAGAATTCCTCCTCCAATCATGTTAGCTCAGGAATTCTGGGAGTTGAAGTTCACAAGTCTTAAAAGCTATCCAGTTTGAAGACCTCTGATCTACATCTATCCATCAACATCTATCTGTGTATGTCTATCTATCTGCATGACTGTCTATCATCTATGTCTACATGCACCAAGACAAATTCCTTGTGTGTCCAATCACACTTGGCCAATAAAGAATTCTATCTTCTATATTCTATCTGTCATATCTATGTCAGGGGTTTTTCAAACTTGACAGCTTTAAGACTTGTGGACTTCCAACTCCCAGAATTCTTCCTCCAGTCATGTTAGCTCAGGAATTCTGGGAGTTGAAGTCCACAAGTCTTAAAGTTGCCAAGTTTGGGGAATCCTGAACTTAAGATGATTAAAGGCCTGGAGACAAAAACATAAAAACAGCTGCAGGATTTGGGTATGGCTAGCCTGGAGCAGGGGTCTCCAACCTTGGCCCCTTTAAGACTTGTGGACTTCAACTCCCAGAATTCTTCCTCGTCATGTTAGCTCAGGAATTCTGGAGCTGAAATCCACAAGTCTTAAAGTTGCCAAGTTTGGGGAACCCTGAACTTAAGATGATTAAAGGCCTGGAGACAAAAACATAAAAACAGCTGCAGGATTTGGGTATGGCTAGCCTGGATTTGGGTATGGCTAGCAAAGCTGGCTGAGGAATTCTGGGAGTTGAAGTCCACAAGTCTTAAAGGGGCCAAGGTTGGAGACCCCTGTTCTAGAGAAAAGAAGGACTAGAGATGACATGATAACAGTATTCTAGTTTTTGAGGGGCTGCCCCCCAAAAAAAGGGGGGGGGGGTTTCAACCTATTCTCCAAAGCACCAGAGGGCAGGACAAGAAACAATGGGTGGAAATTAATCAAGGAGAGAAGCAACCTGGAATTAAGGAGAAACTTTATTTATTTATTTCATTTATTTATTTGGTTTGTCAATTGCTTACAAGATAATAGGTATAAGTAAAAACATAGTTATGAATACATGGATACATATAAGAAAAATAAAAATATATAAAAGAAACAATAGGACAGGGACGGTAGGCACGTTGGTGCGCTTATGCACGCCCCCTAGAGACCTCTTAGGAAAGGGGTGAGGTCAATAGTAGAGAGTCTAAGGTTAAAGTTTTTGGGGTTTGGGGAAGAAACCACAGAGTCAGGTAGAGGATTCCAGACATTGACCACTCTGTTGCTGAGGTCGTATTTCCTGCAATCAAGTTTGGTGCGATTAACTTTGAGTTTGTATCTATTGTTTGCTCTTGTGTTGTTATGGTTGAAGCTGAAGTATTCATTGACAGGTAGGACATTGCAATCTATGATTTTATGTACTATACTTAGATCGGACCGAAGGCGGCGTAGTTCTAGGTTTTCTACATCTAGAATTTCAACTCTGGTGGCATAAGGTATTCTGCAACGAGGAGTGGAGAACTCTTCTTGTGAAATATTTCTGGACTTTCTCAACTGTGCTAATATCAGATACATAATGTGGGTTCTAGACTGATGAGCTGTATTCGAGTATTGGTCTCGCAAATGTTTTGTATGCTCTGGTTAGTAGTGTGATATTACCAGAGAAAAAGCTACATAGGATTAGGTTAACTCCTCTTAACGCCTTTTTGGCTTTGTAGTTACAGTGGGCTCTAGCACTTAGATCATTAGAGATGAGTACTCCAAGATCCTTGACAGAGTTTGGATCATCAACTTCCTAACAGTGAGGACAACTGACCAGTGGAACAGCTTGCTGTCAGAAGTTGTGGGTGCTTCATCATTGGAGGTTTTTGAGAAGAGATTGGATGACTATTTGTCTGAAATGGTATAGGGTGGGGGTCTTCAAACTTGACAGCTTTAAGACTTGTGGACTTCCAACTCCCAGAATTCCTCCTCCTCCAGTCATGTTAGCTCAGGAATTCTGGGAGTTGAAGTCCACCAGTCTTAAACTTGCCAAGTTTGAAAACCCTTGCTGTACACAGGCAGACCTGACCCATGCACCATCCAGAAGTTCCCAGCGAGTCTGTTCCTGGTTCACATGCAAAGTGTACACTTCCTTCTCTGCCAGCCTATTGCCCGCATCGGTCCAACACACCTTTTCCTGCCCCACTACGTGCCCTTACCTAAGGAACTGGTCACTGGTTGTTCCACAGTGCATGAAGGAATTTGCGATAACGGTGGCGGTGTGACACACCGAATTCCGCACCGCATCCTGGAGAAAAGAGGAGAGCAGAAGGTCATAACAACACAAAGGACACAACAGAGCAGGATTGGGCCCCTCTGGATTCTTGAAAAGCTAAACGAAGGAGTTCGAAAATAGAAAATCGTGGGAATTTCGGAGACACCCTTCATTTCTGAAAACTAAATTTGGGGTGTTAATATTCCCTGTAATTCGACTAAAAATAGGCAGTTACAATTACTTTACAGCAACATCGTATTTTAAGCTAAAAATGTTTTGCTGGGACAATTCAATTAAAAACAAAATAGGGAATGATTCTTCTAAGAAAAAAATAATGGATGAATTTGGACATATTGAGCATCAAGTTCAGTATTGTTCAACCTTGGCAGCTTTAAGACGCGTGGACTTTTAACTCCCAGAATTCCCCAGCCAGCCATATTGGCTGGGGAATTCTGGGAATTGAAGTCCACGCATCTTAAAGCTGCCAAGGTTTGAGTAATACTGATCAAGCCACACACAAAGTAACCTTACATCTTATGTTGGATGGAATGGACAATTCAGGAATTAACCTGCAATCTCAGCCACCTGCAAACAGACGAAGCGAAAATGGTGAACGCCTATTTCTAAGGATAACACTGTAAGGATTTAAATCAGATTGATTTCAGAATAAAACCAAGTGTTATCTTCATCACAAAAGACTGAGATACAAATAACTATTTCAGGTATGTGTGAAGTTTGGGTCTTCGTTTCTTCTGAATGCCTCGAACTCTCAGGTTAAGCAAAACTGCGAGAAAATGTTCAACTTAACGTGTGTGTGTGTGTGTGTGTGTGAGAAGAACATCAGCCCAAAATATTCTCTGGGGTTTCCTGGGGAAATCTAGACCCTGGAGACAAAACAAAAAAACAAAAACCCAATGATGTTGGGTGGCCCAACTCAATTTGAACTCTTCCTTCCAGGGGAATCTTAAAACTTTTCTCCAAAGCAAGAATTTTGCCACCATTCAACTTGTCCCATGCAGGCCAGAGGATTTGGCTGTGGATGACACGAACTACCAACGTACCTAGGGATAAATCTAAGTACGGCTGTCAGGTTTCCTTTGAATTTTCACAATTTAAAAAAAGAAGACGTTGTGATCGACATTTGAAATATACCATTGGGAAGATGAAAAGTAGGGAAAGAAAAGAATTTTCCACTTGGTGCTGTCTGATCTTGGTGGTTTTCTTACAGGTGTTTCATTATCCAACTAGGTAATATCATCAGTGCTAGAAGGAGGAAAGGTTTGCAGAAAGGGAGAGGAGGAGGACTGTGGGGTCCCTGCTATTCTCTGAGCTTGGTGGTTTTCTTGCAGACGTTTCATTACCCAACTAGGTAATATCATCAGTGCTAGAAGGAGGAAAGGTTTGCAGAAAGGGAGAGGAGGAGGACTGTGGGGTCCCTGCTATTCTCTGAGCTTGGTGGTTTTCTTGAAGACGTTTCATTACCAAACTGTCAGGGCCCCATCAGAATCTGAGGGGAACAGTGAGATGGAACAAGAGCCGACAGAGGTTGAGAGGGCGGCTCCTTTGGCCTTGGAGGAAACTGGGGAAGGGCAGTCAGTCCAGGCAAAGTTTTCCTGACTTAGTAAGGCCTGCAGGGAGAGCGCAAGAGAAGAGCAAGGCCTACCCCCTGCCCGTGTCCTGCCCCCTTCACAAGGCACACCTGGGGACTGAGATGTAAGGAGGTGCCGGTGGGAGGGGCATTTGTTGGGAACCAACATTGAATCTGTGGAGCCTCGTATGCACTTGCCAAAGCCTGGAGATTGCTGTTCTCTGTGTCGGGCTCCACGTTAGCTAAGGAGCCCGTCAGCTCCGAACACACCTTGCAGAAAGTCAGCTGGCAGTGGAGAATATCACCTCAGCTCTGCTGATGCGGGATCTGGATTGCTCCTTGTGTGCTAGCCGATGGTGTTGAAGGTTGCTTGAGAATGACTCAGCAGAGCTGTGAGCTGCAGGATGGATTCGGGAGGAACTGTGGGGGTGCAGGATGGATTCTGAAGCAACTGCGGGCTGAAGAATGGATTTTGGAGCAACTGCGGGCTGAAGGATGGATTCTGAAGCAACTGCGGGCTGAAGGATGGATTCTGAAGCAACTGCGGGCTGAAGGATGGATTCTGAAGCAACTGCGGGGGTGCAGGATGGATTCTGAAGCAACTGCGGGCTGAATGATGGATTCTGGAACAACTGAGGGGTTGCAGGATGAATTCTGAAGCAACTGCGGGGCTGGAAATGGCCTTTTTCATGTATTGATGTGGTGCATATTGTTAGAGGGGGTTGGGGCACATACAGGTAGCAATTAAGCATTAAGTTAAGACATGGTGAAGGTGGCACCAGATGGGGATCAGTTAGTGAGGATCGGAATAGGGTAGGGATGTAGACATGTTATAGGGTTACTAGCATTTAGGGATAATGGGTTCAGCGTGGCCAGAACTAGAGCTGCGTATAGGCCTGGCTGTGGTGGGTTGTGTCTCATGATAATGGTAATAAAAGGAAAGAGAGCAAAGTCAAACCTTGCCTGGCTTTTAGCCATTCCTGCCTGATTAGGGTATTTCTTGTTTGCTGATATATGGAATAAACCATCATTGTCCTAAAGAGGAGCTGGAGTTTGGATTCATTTAAAGACAAATCTTCAATACTCAAGGACTGGCTGAGTCTCTGTAGTGTGGGGCTTGCCAGTTGCCTGCTTTGCTGAACTTCTTGCTCTGGTTACTGTTTAGCTAACCTGGCTTATTGGACTGCTGGCCCTGGTTGCTGTTTTGGTTAACCTGGCTTACTGGACGACTCGCACCCAGAGGCGTCTGAAGGTGCGTGTGAGAGCTTTGCTCCAGGACCTGCTGTGAATGTGGGACCATTTGGGGGGCACAGCGGGAGCAATAAAGGAGTGGTTTGAACTGCCAGCTGGTTGTGTTATCTCTGTGCCGTGCCCTGGGTCATCACACAAACTAGGTCACATCCTCAGGGCTCGCAACTCCAACCTTTTGCAAATCTTTCCAAGTGTGTTGTTATTCAGCCTTCAGGCACGCCACAAAATGAGGACAGATACACCCACCCATACACAGAGGCCTTACCTTTGTGTTTTTTAGAATCATGAGGTCTGTATTGTTGTTTCGTATTAAAAACTGGAGGTGCAATTCAATGGCCATTTCCCCACTTAAAATCTTGATCATTTTTGGAATCTGGTCTTTCGTTCCTGGACTCTACATGTGGGAAGGAACAAACAAATATCGTTATTTATCTCATTTCTTCACTGGGCTTAACTGTCACTCCAGTATTCATTGACTCAGAGTGGCTTTCATAGCCTATTCTATAAAATAAGGTTAACAACCAACTCAAAAAACCATTCCAGGAACAATTAAGGAAGTTATATAAAAAAACAGACTACCATACCTCAAGAGGAAACACTTCCAAGACAATGGCAGAAGAGAATTTTAGCTCAGGGCTGAACTGTGGGGTCACTGGCTCTCTCTGTGCTTGTTTTCTTGCAGATGTTTCATTACCAAACTAGGTAACGTCATCAGTAAAAGAAGGGAGGGGTTTTGCAGAGGAGGAGGAGGAGGAGGAGGAGGAGGAGGAGGAGGAGGAAGACTGTGAGGTCCTTGATTCTCTCTTGAGCTTGGTTGTTTTCTTGCAAATGTTTCACTACCAAATTAGGTAACATCATATCAGTGGAGGAAGATGGGTTTGCAGAGAGGAGGAGGAGGAGGAGGAGGAGGAGGAGGAGGAGGGGGAGGGGGGGGGGGGAGGAGGAGGAGGAGGAGAAGTGGTGGAGGAAGGAGGAGAAGGACTTGATTCTCTCTTGAGCTTGGTTGTTTTCTTCCAGAAGTTTCATTACCCAACTAGGCAACATCATCAGTGATGAAAGGGAGTGGTATTTGTGGAGTGGGTCATGAAATGTCTGCAAGGAAAGCACCAAGCTCTGAGAGCACCGAGAACCTTGCCGTCTTCATCCTCCTCCTTTCTGCAAGCCCCCTTCCCTTCCAGCACTGATAATGTTACCTGGTTTGGTGATGAAACGTCTGCACGAAAGCCCCCAAGCTCAGAGAGCACCGACGACTCCACACCTCAAGACACCTCTATCCCAAAGGCTTCCTGAAAAGAGCACATTTTGATGGCCTTTCTGAAACTCAGGTGTGGGGCAGGATGGGGGAAGAATAAGCTCGAAGAGGCTCCTGAAGATGGCATTCCCTGAGTAAAGGAGCTTGACCTTACTGGGTGAGCAAGGCAATTGAAAGAATTTGAGATTAAAGAAGAAAAACTGCAGAAAAAAACAATGGCTACCAACCTGCCTTCCATGGAGGACCTGTATCCTGCACCGGTCAAAAAGAGGGCTGTGAAAATATCTACAGACCCCTCACATCCCGGACATAAACTGTGTCAACTCCTTCTCTCAAAACGACGCTACAGAGCCCTGCACACCAGAACAACTAGACACAAGGGGAGTTTTTTCCCCCCAAATGCCATCACTCTGCTAAACAAATAATTTCTTGTTAGTTACAGTCCTACAATCACAAGTGGGAGGGGATGGGCGATAAGGAGTGATGAGAAGATTAATAGTAATAGTAGTGCAGATTTAGTAAATAGTTGGACAGCGTTGAAGGAATTATTTGTTTAGCAGAGTGATGGCGTTTGGGGAAAACCTGTCCTTGTGTCTAGTTGTTCTGGTGTGCAGTGCTCTATAGCGCCGTTTTGAGGGAAGGAGTTGAAACAGTTTATGTCCAGGATGCGACGGGTCCGTAGATATTTTCCCAGCCCTCTTTTTGACTCGTGCAGGTTACAAGTCCTCCATGGAAGGCAGGTCGGTAGCCATTGTTTTTTCTGCGGTCCTAATTCCTCTCTGGAGTCTGTGTCTGTCCTGTTGGGTTGCAGAACTGAACCAGTTATAGAGGTGCAGAGGACAGACTCAGTCATTCCTCTGTAGAACTGGACCAGCAGCTCCTTGGGCAGTTTGAGCTTCCTGAGTTGGCGCAGAAAGAACATTCCTTGTTGTGCTTTTTTCATGATGTTTTTGATGTTAGGTGTCCATTTTAGGTCATGTGATATAGTAGAACATAGAAATTGGAAGGTTTCTACTGTTGATACTGTGTTGTCTAGTATTGTAAGAGGTGGTCGTATGGGAGGGTTTCTCCTAAACTCTACCACCATTTCTACGGTTTTGAATGTGTTCAGTTCCAGATGGTTCCGGTTATACCACGAGGCAAGTTGTACAACCTCCTGTCTGTATGCAGATTCATTGTTGTCTCGAATGAGACCAATCACTGTTGTATCTTCTACAAATGTCAGTAGATTTTGTGTAATGACACTTGCCGTCTGAGCTGACTTCACAGAAGCAACCGGGCTGCCTTTCTTCTCTTCTGTCTCCATCATCTCTCTGAAAAACAAAAACAAAAAATTCTCGTTCACACTGTGGCTGTTCTCCAAAACGTCCTAGGGGATGAAAAGAACAGAGGCCTGAATCTTTTCTCTTGAAGGAACAAGTTGTTCTGACCTAAGCTTCACAAAATCGTCCCGACAAAACTCCTTTTGATTAGGCTAATGTGAATTCCTCTCATTCACCTCCAGCAAAGTCCCAGCAAACTTTCTTTCAAGGGAGAATTTACAACCACAGCCCTTATCAGGCTGGGAGAGTTGCCAGGCTGATAGCTTCCAAGCACAACGCTGTACAAGGAAATACTTGGCAAGGAATCTCTGAGACTCATGAACAAATCTTCACACTAATTAAATGAACCAATTTGTCTCCTACAAAACCCCTTTCACTCCTCTTTATTCCCTCTGGGAGGGGCGATTCACCGTCCACCTGTGCTTTTACTACCGAGTCAATCCTTGTTCCTTAGCTGTTCGTTTCTTCTAGCAGCTCTGTGCATGTGCACACTGGGAACAGGCTCCAGCTGTTCTTCTTCCCCACTGATGTCCAACTCCAGAGGCAGCTGATAACTGTCGGATCGCCCTGGCCCCATCTCTGCCTTTGACGCAGAGCATCTATCAGAGCCTTCCCCAGACTCCAGCACTGGCCCATGTTCCTCCCCAACCTCCTCACTGTCCGAGTCTTCCGCCAGCTCCTTCTGGCCACTGGTAGGCCAAAACATAAGCCATTCTGTTTTTCTACCTACATGGCTTGAGTAGGGGGCTGGACTAGAAGATCACCCAGGCCCCTTCCAACTATGTTATTCTATTACTACAGGCAATTTATATCGACACCGTTGAGGATGACCTAAAAAAACAACAACAACCCATGTGCTCCCCAATTGTGAAATATTAAAGCAAGAGATTTTGCTGATTGTCATAACCTTGGCCACCAAAGTAGCACATGAGGGGGAAAAAGCCAGGAAACAAGACCAGTTAGTTGATTTATAGGAAATACAGGTAGTCCTTCACTTATAACAGTTCACTTAGGGGCTGTGCAGTTACCATGGCACTGAAAAATTGACTTAGGACCATTTTTCACACTTACAACCATTACAGCCTCCCCATGGTCACTTGATCAAAATTCAGATGCTGGGCAACTGATTCACACTTATGATGGTCCCGGGGTCATGAGATTCCCCCTTTTGTGACCTCTTGACAAGCAAAGTCAATGGGGAAACCAGATTCACTTAACGACCGTGTGACTAATTTAACAACTGCAACGATTCACTTAAGAAATTGGCTATGGCTTTTAAAGAAAATATATTTTACAGGTGGCATCTTCCGCCAACGAGGCTTTCTAAAATGTTTAAAAATATACCTCCAAATTGTTGGAGGTATAAAAAGTGTAAAGATGTATCAGGTGCATTTTACCACAATAAAATGTGATAAAATATTGCAAAAAAATATTGGAGACTGATTCAAACATGGATAGAACAAATGGTGGGAGAGTGTATTCCATTTAAACCGGAATTTTTTCTCCTAGGAATAATATCAGAAAAATTTAAGAAGAAAATAATGTATCTAATAGTACGTGTATTGACGGCGGCTAGAATAATATATGCACAATATTGGAAAAATGAAATAATACCCCCAGAAACAGAAATAATAAGAAAAAGCATGGCATATGCCAAATCAGATAGGTTAACTTTAGAAATAAAAGACAAAGGCGTCTAAATAGTATAAAACATGAAATAAATTTTATCAATGGTTATATAGCAGAAGACAAAGTCAAAATATTAGTAGTTATGATTAATTAGTAATTAATATATTAAATAAGGAGATTATAAATGAAGTAAAATGTACATATGTATAACACGGCTAAGTTGGATGTATTGTGTTGTATTCTCATAATTAAAATTAAAAAATAAATTTAAAAAAATGTGGCAAGGCAAGTTGGGTAAAATGGGCCAAAACTCCCTTAACCCATGTCTCACTTAGCAACATCAATTTTGGGCTCAATCTTAAGTCGAGAACTACCCGTAACGAGTCCATTTGCATCTTCCACAGCTGCAATTAAATAGGTGGTCCTGTACCCCCTTTTCCCCCCTCTATCCTTTGCACAATATTGCTCATTCCTGGAAGGGAAGGACTCGACAGGTATTTAAGCATGTATGTCTCACCCTTCTTTTTCGGACCCGGGCACCGTCCCCGTGTTGGTAGATCCGGGCACGGAAGCAATGGGGGTGCCAACGCTGCGGAGGTTCTGGATGACTGAGGAGAGGAACTGCTGGCTGGCGCTCTCGTACAAGTCGAAACAGATCTGGTAAGCCATGAGAAGGTTGTCCTCCTTCACTAGCTTCTCCAGGATGTCGCTCACGGCTTGTGGGTCGTCCAAGAAAATGAGACACTGCAGGAGGGAGGCAGGGAGGGAGGGGGTTGTAACTTTGAACAGTCATTAAATGAACTGTTGTAAGTCAAAGACTATCTGTGTCTGTCTGTCTATGTATCTATCTCTGTCTAGATAAAGGTAAAGGTTCCCCTCGCACATCGGTGCTAGTCGTTTCTGTGTGTGTGTGTGTGTGTGTGTGTGTGTGTGTGCGCGAGAGAGAGAGAGAGAGAGAGAGAGAGAGAGAGAATGAATGAATGAATGAATGAATGAATGAATGGGCCTTATTTTTGGAGAAACATGGGTAGCAGATGAAGTTCCATTGAGGGTGGTTCCTATTTTTCTACTTGCATTTTTACGTGCTTTCGAACTGCTAGGTTGGCAGAAGCTGGGACAAGTAACGGGAGCTCACTCCTTTACGTGGCGCTAGGGATTCGAACCGCCTAATTGCTGACCTTTCTGATTGACAAGCTCAGCGTCTTAGCCACTGAGTCACCGCGTCCCTATCTCTGTCTACAACCATC